AGCATGGGTGGGCGGGGGAAAGAAGAGGTGAATTAAATTAATTAAATTAATTAAAGAAGAAAAGTAGAATTTTCTTGGATATATTTATTGGGCGATGAAAGGGGAAAACGTCTTATTTAGAGCAATGTTTGATATATTTTTTAAAAAAATAGATTTTAAAAATAAAATAACTCACCTAAATCCTAGACATATGGACAATGCAGGGGTAGGCAACCTTTCTCCTTTAAGGGCCGAGGGACTTCAGCTCCCAGAAGCCTCAGCTATGTTGGCCAATAGTCCCATGTTGGCCAATAAATCCTGGGATTCTGGGAGCTGAAGTCCCTCGGCCCTTAAAGGGGAAAGGTTGCCTACCTCTGTGTTAGTTTGTAGTCCAAAACATGAGAGCCAGCGTGGAGCGTTGGGGCTCTGGAGTTCAGGGTTCGAGTCACAGTTCAGCCATTGAAACCTATTGGGCAAGTCACACTCTCTCAGCCTCAGATGGCAAGAAGAAAGTTGCCAAAAAAACCCGTGATACGTTCACCTCAGGGTTGCCATAAATTGGAAGCAACCTGAAGGCACACAAAAGTAGCAATAGCATTTACATTTCTATGCCACTTATCAGTTAATTCAGCACTCTAAGCGGTTTACAATGTGTAAGCCAGTTGCCCCCAACAAGCTGGGTACTCATTTTACCAATCTACAAAAGGATGGAAGGCTGAGGGCCTTTACAGACTGCCAGAAATAATGCAGCTTGAGGCCACTTTAACTGTCCTGGCTCAGGGCTAAGGAATCATGGGAACTGTAGTTTATTGTGGCACCAGAGCTCTCTGGCAGAGAAGGCTCAATGTCCCAGAAAAAAATACAGTTCCCATGATTCCCTAGAACTGAGCCAGGACAGTTAAAGTGGCCTCAAGCTGCATTATTGCTGGCAGTCTGTAAAGGCCCTCAGTCAGTCTTGGAGCCCTGCCAGGGTTCAAATTCACAACCTTGTGGCTGCAGTACTGGCATTTAATCACTGTGGCACCAGGGCTCCAACAACAGACAATAGGAGGTTGTCGTTTGTGAATCAACAAAAATGTTGAGAGTCAGTGTGGTGGTGTGGTTTGAGCCTTGGACTTCGATTCTGGAGACCAGGGTTCAAATGCCAGCTTGGCCCCACTTGATGACCTTGGGAAGTCACATTCTCTCAGCCTCAGAGGAAGGCAATGGGAAAAAACCCTCTGAAGAAATTTCCCAAGAAAACTCCACAATAAGTCTACCTTAGGGTCGCCATAAGTTGGAAACAACTGCAAAGCACACAACAATTTTAACTTGGCCAGCTCCCTTAGAGGTTATTGAACTACAATTACTGCCAGAGAGCCAGTGGTGAGGAATATTGGGAGGACAGCCGCACCTTTGCTTGACAACAGTACATGTGAAAGGGATCTAGGAATCCAGGTGGACCATAAGTTGAACATGAGTCAACAGTGCGATGCAGCAGCTAAAAAGGCCAATGCAATTTTAGGCTGCATCAATAGAAGTATAGTGTCTAGATCAAAAGAAGTAATAGTGCCACTCTATTCTGCTTTGGTCAGGCCTCACCTGGAATACTGTGTCCAGTTCGGGGCACCACAATTCAAAAAGGATGTGGAGAAACTGGAGCGTGTCCAAAGGAGGGCAACTAAAATGGTGAAGGGTCTGGAAACCATGCCCTATGAGGAGAGACTTAGGTTTGGTTCAAGCACCCCACCCCACAGATAGGAAAAAAGTGGGAGCTCAAGCTCATATTAGTCAATGGGCAGTGACATGCACATGCCTGTGTCAGTGTGCTGGTGGGCATGTATCACCATTGGCTAATGTGGAGCAGGGATCCCAGGAGCTCCCATCCACGGATGACTAGCCTGCCAATATGGTAAGCTCACTATAATGACAATTCATCAGGAGATGGGATCCAATAAAGCCAATTTTCAGGTAAAGGGATGAATGTAGTGACATAAACATGGATAATGCACAACTATGCAGCTGAACAAAAATAAAGCCAGGGGCAGTGCAATTAAAAGGCTGAAATGTAGCATTGGTGTATTGAAAATCCATCTTAACCCTGCCCAGATGTGAAGCTTGGTTAGTGGTCAAGATCTTGTCTCATGTCGGTTTTACGGGGTTGTTGTCATACTGCTCATTAGGAGGAGGAGGAGGAGGAGGAAGAAGGAGAAGACAACAAATGCAAATATAGTAACAACAGGAGGACTGTCATTTCAAGGGAACCAACCATATAATTGATACATGTCCACAACTGGATCCTACATGAGTGTGTGTGTGTGTGTGTGTGTGTATATATATATGCTATCTGGCCAGGTAACTAAGGCTGAATGTCTTGTTCCAGGAATTGACAATTGGGTTCCAGACTGGTTGGTGACTTTAATTTTAATGTAACAAAAACAATATATATTTCTGTTTGGACATTTGCCTGAGCAAATATTTCTGTAGTAAAACTGGCTTTCCTTGATGGTTGGTCTCTGTCAGCTGTCATTCTGGTTTAGAATAATTGCCCTCTCCCCAATCATCATGGGTGCATGACTGCAAATGAATTTCTTTGTGCATACCAGAGGGCAGACTGCTAATTATAAGAGAAAATGGGCCCTTATAAACTGACAGATGGTTAGAATGTTGACAGGCTGATGTCATCCCAATAAAATGAGACAGCAAAAAGAAGCAACCCTGATTTCATGAGACAGACTCAGGTTTTAATAGATTAGGCTTAAAATTTTTGCCTGGTGAAAGCAGCACCTGCTCTTTAACAGCTCTGAAGCGCCCAAGCCTTGTTTTGCTTCACAAATGAAGGTGAAAGACCAAGGCTGGGGTTAAGTAGATATGAGAAGGAGCTCTATATAGGGCATGAAGCAAATACCTGGAAGGGTAAACTGTAGCCATAACTCTGTATATTTGGCCAAGGGGTCAAACTGGAGAAAGGAGCAAAGTGAATCAGTGACAAGGCTGGAGGAAAGACGACAGCAATGGCTGGAGAGCAGGGTGCATGATCAAGATCAAGATGTTGTCAGATGCAGAATATATGTTTAACTGGGAAGAGGAGGAGAAGGAAATCATGGAAACAGAGACCACAAAGAAGAACAACATGAGAACTGACAAGGACTTAAGACCTAAAATAAGAGGTTGTTTCCCAAAGAACTGGTGTGGGGGACTGGGGGGGGGGTCCCCAACATCTGTCAGTATTGCTCCAGACATTGGGGAAATCAGCTTTGCAAGAGGCTTGAATAGCCTTTGAATAGTTTACACCAGTGTATACCAGT